TTTCCCCGTGAACACCATGAGAGATATGCTACGCCTATCATATGTTTTTTTCCACGTGATTATTACAGCTTCTTACTAGGCCCATGTTGGTGTTTGGGCCATATATAGAGAACATCTTTGCGTAGGCCTGTTTGAGGGTTAGCACCTGGCCTATGTATGGTGAAGCAGGAAGGTGCCCACTGTAAGGGAACCGACTCAAGGTAACCTCAAGGTAGGAGGGGAAGGGGGTAGGGAGGGAGGGACGGAGGTAGGAAATGGGGGTGAGGGAGAGAGAAAACATGTTTCAAAATTTGTTATTTATGATGATGAAAATGTAATGAATGCAGTAATAATGGCTAGCCATAATAAGGTCAGTAATGGCAAGGTAAAAAAGACATTAGCAGTGACATTATTAATGGTATAGCTCGAGTCATAAACAATTATATATTTATAAGTGTATATAATAACTTAGTCATTGGCTGGCTTCATATTGTGTCCACATGTTCATGGTTGCCAGTAGTGGGGGGGGGGGGGGGGCGAGGGAGGCAGAGGTTCTAAAATTTCTAGGTCTGTAGAATATAGTAAGAATAATAAATATCTCTAATGATAATGACAGCCTAATTACACTGGAGGAATAATGAAGCCAATATCAACAACAATATTTACTTAAAGTGTTAACTACAACAAGGCCAGACACATTCTACAATGAACGATACAACACCATTCCTGCCATATCATTCATGTTAATTTATCTTTAAAAGATTGAATTATGGTCATCAGTTACTGACAAACTGATGTGTACGTTCCAATACATTCAAATAAAACAATTAATATAAAAGTAATAACAATAAAAATAATAATTGTAGGGTAAAAAGTTTTCAAGTGAAGTGCCTGGTTTGGCTAGGCTCCAGTTAGGACCAAGATTGTCTTCAGTATTAATATCCTGTTACTCTGATGGGGGCGATCATAATATCCATAAGTAGGCCATTTGGGGTAATAGGATTTAATTTCCTCTTTGTTAGTTTTAAAATTAGCTTCGGGACGGTTTAATCTGGATAATGAAGATGGATGGTGGCGGAGAGAAGCCTCGCTGTGCGTACCACAGGACATGATGCCGTCGCCATCTTTCTTAATGGCTACCCCAAATATACGTATTTATTTTTATTAATAATTTTTTTTTTGTCTGGGTGCGAGAATGGAGAGTGGTGGTTAGTCTTCAAGAGGCATTGGCAATAATGATCAGATGTGTATAATTATGTCATAACACTAAACAAAGAGCGAGTCTAGACACTAATCTTGGTGGCCGCTGTGTGTGTTTATGCTCCAGTGAAGATTTGCTTCATTGCACACGCCAAAAAATAAAAATAATAAGAACATGACGCAGCTTTTCAGCAGAGTTTGTATTTGGTGAGATGAGCATGAGGAGGAGGAGGCGTAGGCTCCCAGAGATGGCCGTAGTGCAACAAATGTTTGAGCGGATCACCGCTTAACGGCTCATTACTTAGCTGGTGCAGGAACCTGTTTTCTTCTGTAAACTACTTTTGTTATTTCTTAAACTTTTTCTGTCTATTCTGTTCCTTGAAAATTGTTACTGTAACTTTGTCCCTATTCGTTTACGTTTTCCCGTTCAGTCATCTTGGTCTTTGTCTAGCCTAGCCTTCAGTGGCTGTTGCTAGTGTATGTCTTGTGTTGTGTTATCACTTGTATTTACTATGGATCTTTCCTTTGTTTTGCAATAACTTCATTTGAAATTTCAAATGAGGGGGGGGGGGGACAAATGACATTTCAATATGTCATTTGAAATTTCCGAAATCCTGAATAGCTTTTACTACAGAACACCTTCCCGGTTTGGTGCCTTCTTTTGATAATTACTTTACTTCTAATACAGAACAGCGCTTGTTTCACAAAATGTTTTGAAAATGTGGAACATTTTAACACAAGAATAGTTGTCCCATTGTTATATACCTCCAGATGTTAGTGTTGTCATTTACCACAATAAAATAAATTAGTTTTTTTATACAAGAGAAAATTATCAGAGTAGAAAAACTCAGCATCAGCCAAGCGTAAACATTAAACAACATTTCCTAAATATAAGGACCGCACCTCTAGTTTTTTCAGACCCCTGAACAAGGGAAAGATAACATTTCGAAACTCAACAACCTCGAAGCAAGTGACAATCTTGTGAAGCTCTTGTTCACAAAACGACAAAAGAAGACAAAAATTCAGTTGCTAGAGCCAGTAGGGTAATGTTTGGGGTGACCTTTGTGTTGTGTTGAGAGGTTACCGGGTAAATACTTCAGATCCCTGGAGCGTACAGCCTCATCCTCCCAACCACCACAAGAATGTTCATCACTTAAATCTTAGTGTATTTATACCGCCATGCTTCTCAGTTGGCTCTTTGGTACATGCTTCCATGGCTCTTAGTCTCGTAGTCTCGTAGGCCTTAGGAATTATTTTCAGCGCATGTTAGCTGTATACATACGTCTTTCGGCTGCGCGTCATGGCTATTTAAAAGATTTTCAACGATTCTCAAATATTCACAATAAAAATATTTTTATTTAGCTTAAAAACATCACAGTGAATCTTCTGTGGTTTTTGCGGTCTCCAGATTAGAGATTTCGTCTTCCCCTAAACCAGGCACTTTCCGTTGAGAAATATTTCAATCGCTATAGTCTAGTAAATAATACAAGGGCCTTAAATATGTCGTCATTGACCTTACATCTCTTGTTTGAAAGGTTCTTATCTAGCATATCAAATTTCTGGCAGTGTTGATTGGCTAGTTACCTCAATATGCTCTTAACCGTAAGATGATCTTGCAAGTTGTAGCAAGGAGAAAAGTTGAAGGATGTGTAGCCTTATCAGAGCGGATAAGAGCCATGCTAATCAGCTGCATATGGGTATGTTTAGCAGGGAGGGATAAGAGGAATGTTGACTAAAGCGGACAAGATGAAGGTTTAGTAAAAGGAATGAAGGGTATGGGATACACCTTATTTAATAGCCTACGGACTCCAGGTAGATTACTATAGGCAGTGACGAGACATTGTGGTGAATATGAAGAAATAGGCCTACCTAGGGAGGAGTGTAAGATCCTCAGATCCTGTAAGATCCTTCCCTCAGACCCGCAGGGTCTGAGGGAAGATGGAGGCTGTGGGACGACCTAGAGGGAGGATGAGGGAAAGGCTGTGGGCGACCTAGAGGGAGGATGAGGGGAAGGCTGTGGGCGACCTAGAGGGAGGATGAGGGGAAGGCTGTGGGCGACCTAGAGGGAGGATGAGGGAGGGAGGGGAAGGCTGTGGGAGACCTAGAGGGAGGATGAGGGGAAGGCTGTGGGACGACCTAGAGGGAGGATGAGGGGAAGGCTGTGGGCGACCTAGAGGGAGGATGAGGGGAAGGCTGTGGGCGACCTAGAGGGAGGATGAGGGGAAGGCTGTGGGACGACCTAGAGGGAGGATGAGGGGGAAGGCTGTGGGCGACCTAGAGGGAGGATGAGGGGAAGGCTGTGGGACGACCTAGAGGGAGGATGAGGGGAAGGCTGTGGGCGACCTAGAGGGAGGATGAGGGGAAGGCTGTGGGCGACCTAGAGGGAGGATGAGGGGAAGGCTGTGGGACGACCTAGAGGGAGGATGAGGGGAAGGCTGTGGGCGACCAGACACGATGAATTACTCCCACAAACTGAAATAATTCCTCCGCCGTCTCTCTTGATCTCCGGCGGCGGCGGCCACAGTTATGAGTGGCCCCAGTATTATGGCGCTCCTCCAACTATTTATATGCCTCCACGTCTGGCTGGGGCGACGCTCCTCCTTTGATGCATTGCTTGGCGTTATTGCCTGAGAGCGGGGAGGGGCGTAGCAGCATCTCCCCTCTCACCTGTTTTATTGTGGCGTGGAGAGACGAGAGCGAGGGGTGGGGGGGGGGGGGGAGTGGGATCTTGTAAGGAAGGAGACGGGGGGGGGGGGCAGTAGAGAGGTAACCCGTCCTCGTAATAGAACAGTGAGAGGTATGAAAGCATACCGCCTGCTTTCATACCTCTCACTGTATTTCCCACTTCTAAACTTCCCTTCACCTATGCCTCTCCTTCCTCTTTACCCCCCCCCCCAAAAAAAAAGTAATAGAACGTCGTATTTTGACGTATGCTCTACCTAAGGCCACAAATTGTCGTACTAGAAAACGGTAGCGGCTCGGGAAATTGACATACTCTACCGTTTTCTGTTTTGGGTCCTCTGGTAGGTTAGTATAGGGGCACTTTAGTAAGACAGTTTCTTGACGTTGGGGAACCTTAGGAGGCCGGGCTGGGTGAGGAAGGAGACGAGGAGGGTGAGGAAGGAGACGAGGAGGGTGAGGGAGGAGACGAGGGGGGTGAGGGAGGAGACCAAGAGGATGAACAACCAACTCTAGCAGTGGGACGAGGAATACAATATTATGTTAAATAAAGTTAAGTTAAAGCTTCTGCTTTCTGGGAAAAAGGAAGAAATTCTTACAAGCGTAGATACCACACGGCGCCCAAGTCCACCAAACCCGGAGAGAGACCTGACAGAGCCGGACGTAGTCAACGCACAACACTTGTGTTTAAAACCATCACCAAGGAACTCTCGTTGACACACGCTGGGTATATATAAGCTACTCTCACGCCTCTTACACACTACTCATGCCCCTGCCACCTCTTGTGTGGCTCAATCTTCATCAATCAATCGATTCTTATCTGTCATAATTCAGGTGAAAGCAATTCGCACTTTAAGCTTGATTGGCGGTCAAAGAATCACCATATCTCAGACGTTAGGCTATGTTAGTGTGTCATGATATATCCTTATATATCTCACACGTTAGGCTATGTTAGTTTGCCATGGTATATCCTTATATATCTCAGACGTTAGGCTATGTTAGTCTGCCATGGTATATCCTTATATATCTCAGACGTTAGGCTATGTTAGTCTTATATATCTCAGACGTTAGGCTATGTTAGTCTGCCATAATATTTCATTACATTTTCAGCTACTAATAAATATTTTATATTTTGCTTACAGGGTCGGGCGACGGGGAGTCGAGCAGCACTATGGGTGCGGACCAAACTGCAGATGCAGCTGCTGCATTTCGGGGTATTCTGCCAGAGACATGCGGGGAAAGTGTTGTTCGTGGCCCTGCTCGTGCTCTCCACCTTCTGCGTCGGCCTCAAGAGTGCCACTCTCCTCACCGATGTACAGAGATTATGGGTCGAAGGTATGTCACTTCTCTCAGCTTTAGTTCTATGCCACAAGTAAACACATCAGCTTCTCTAACACCTGAGCTCAACACGGTGGCTACCTTACGCCTATCTTGCGTAAGGTAGCCATTTGAGTTCCTCAAATATGAGGAACTCAAATGTCAATTAAGTTTCAGTGTTGTTAAAAGTACCATTATTAGTCGCCTCGTCTGTTGAAAGGTGGGGTAGGGTACATGTCGACTGGTTTATGCTTTCCATTTATATATATTGTGTAATTTGCAGTGTTTGCAATATCTGGTGGTCTGTGCGGATTGACGTGAATTGCACTGCAGGTACTCTAGTTATTGTCTTGTAACGACCAGTGGTACTGCAGGTACTCTAGTTATTGTCTTGTAACGACCAGTGGTACTGCAGGTACTCTAGTTATTGTCTTGTAACGACCAGGTGGTACTGCAGGTACTCTAGTTATTGTCTTGTAACGACCAGGTGGTACTGCAGGTACTCTTGTTATTGTCTTGTAACGACCAGTGGTACTGCAGGTACTCTAGTTATTGTCTTGTAACGACCAGGTGGTACTGCAGGTACTCTTGTTATTGTCTTGTAACGACCAGTGGTACTGCAGGTACTCTAGTTATTGTCCTGTAACGACCACTGGTACTGCAGGTACTCTAGTTATTGTCCTGTAACGACCACTGGTACTGCAGGTACTCTTGTTATTGTCCTGTAACGACCAGTGGTACTGCAGGTACTCTTGTTATTGTCCTGTAACGACCAGTGGTACTGCAGGTACTCTTGTTATTGTCCTGTAACGACCAGGTGGTACTGCAGGTACTCTAGTTATTGTCCTGTAACGACCAGGTGGTACTGCAGGTACTCTTGTTATTGTCCTGTAACGACCAGTGGTACTGCAGGTACTCTTGTTATTGTCTTGTAACGACCAGTGGTACTGCAGGTACTCTTGTTATTGTCTTGTAACGACCAGTGGTACTGCAGGTACTCTTGTTATTGTCCTGTAACGACCAGTGGTACTGCAGGTACTCTTGTTATTGTCCTGTAACGACCAGTGGTACTGCAGGTACTCTTGTTATTGTCCTGTAACGACCAGTGGTACTGCAGGTACTCTTGTTATTGTCCTGTAACGACCAGTGGTACTGCAGGTACTCTAGTTATTGTCCTGTAACGACCAGTGGTACTGCAGGTACTCTTGTTATTGTCCTGTAACGACCAGTGGTACTGCAGGTACTCTTGTTATTGTCCTGTAACGACCAGTGGTACTGCAGGTACTCTTGTTATTGTCCTGTAACGACCAGGTGGTACTGCAGGTACTCTTGTTATTGTCCTGTAACGACCAGTGGTACTGCAGGTACTCTAGTTATTGTCCTGTAACGACCAGTGGTACTGCAGGTACTCTTGTTATTGTCCTGTAACGACCACTGGTACTGCAGGTACTCTTGTTATTGTCCTGTAACGACCAGTGGTACTGCAGGTACTCTTGTTATTGTCCTGTAACGACCACTGGTACTGCAGGTACTCTTGTTATTGTCCTGTAACGACCAGTGGTACTGCAGGTACTCTAGTTATTGTCCTGTAACGACCAGTGGTACTGCAGGTACTCTTGTTATTGTCCTGTAACGACCAGGTGGTACTGCAGGTACTCTTGTTATTGTCCTGTAACGACCAGGTGGTACTGCAGGTACTCTTGTTATTGTCCTGTAACGACCAGGTGGTACTGCAGGTACTCTTGTTATTGTCCTGTAGGCCCTTGGTGGCAAATTTTAGCCCCATTCGAAAAATGTTTATGGGTGGGGATAAGGAGCAAGGTATCCATCCATCAGTAACAATTGTAAGCGTTGGTGCTCCACAAGTGTCAACACACACATGCTCCGGACCAGGATTCATCAAATATTTACGCAGCTACTATTTAGTAAATGTAAACAAAGCCGCTGTGATCAAGGAAAGACCTACCGGTTTCGTAAGTGGTGGCATTCATAAGTGGTGGCGTAAATTCACGTTTTGCAATATATGTCATAGAACTACACCGTGGAGTATGGCAGTTGTCACCACCGTTACCCTGGGATAACAGTTTCAGAGTTGTAAGCTTCAAAGTTGTTAGTTCTTTATAACTGGAGTAGTTAGTGCAGCTCTCTAGCTTAGGCTGTTTTCTCTGAATCCAAATTAATAATTGCTTCAAAATATGTGGGTGTGCACTTTTTACTGAGTATACAATTCGGCTTATTATTTTCTGCCCCAGATTGTGATAAATGTTGTGTTGCATACAGAGTTGGAATTCCTGCCATCCAACACATGTGTGTATGCAAAATATATACCTGATAGTCCTGTCTACCACAACCCCTTCCCTGCCCCTCCCTCCTTCCCCCATCCTATGTGTCGACTACCACTACCACCACACCACCACCACCCCACCACTACCACCACTACCACCACACCACCACCACCCCACCACTACCACCACACCACCACCACCCCACCACTACCACCACACCACCACCACCCCACCACTACCACCACTACCACCACTACCACCACACCACCACCACCCCACCACTACCACCACTACCACCACACCACCACCACCCCACCACTACCACCACACCACCACTACTACCACCACCACTACCACCACACCACCACTACCACCACCACCCCACCACCACCACACCACCACACCACCACCACTACCACACCACCACTACCACACCACCACTACCAAACCACCACTACCACACCACCACTACCAAACCACCACTACCACACCACCACTACCAAACCACCACTACCACCACACCACCCCACCACCACCACCACCACACCACCACTACCACACCACCACCACACCACCACTACCACACTACCACTACCCACCACCACCACCACCACACCACCACCACCACCACACCACCACCACACCAAACCACCACTACCAAACCACCACTACCACCACACCACCCCACCACCACTACCACCACACCACCACTACCACACCACCACCACTACCACCACACCACCACCACCACACCACCACCACACTACCACCACACCACCACCACTACCACACCACCACCACTACCACACCACCACCACTACCACACCACTACCACACCACCACCACTACCACTACCACCACCACCACCACCACTACCACACCACCACCACACCACCACTACCACTACCACACCACCACCACACTACCACCACACTACCACCACTACCACACCACCACCACCACTACCACCACCACCACTACCACTACCACACCACCACCACCACACCACCACCACCACACCACCACCACCACTACCACACCACCACCACACTACCACCACACCACCACCACCACACCACCACCACCACCACACCACCACACCACCACCACACCACCACCACCACCACCACCACCACTACCACACCACCACCACACTACTACCACACCACCACCACCACACCACCACTACCACACCACCACCACACCACCTCCGCCTTACTACCACCGTCCGTAGGGGAGCAGGAGGAACCCCAACTCACACCGTAACACACATTACAACAACACATTGTACCACCCTCAGGCCATTACACCACTGGTCATTACCCTCGCTGTACTCTCCCAGTCCTCTCCACACGCCTCTCCCTAAACAAATGCATCTGTTTAGTTTGACCAGGAGCCTACTAGCAACATCCTCCCAGGCTGCGTCCCACAACAGCTCTCTTAACCTCCGGGTACCTGTTTATCATGGCTACGGGATGGACTCGCTAGGCTACGGGATGGACTCGCTAGGCTACGGGATGGACTCGCTAGGCTACGGGATGGACTCGCTAGGCTACGGGATGGACTCGCTAGGCTACGGGATGGACTCGCTAGGCTACGGGATGGACTCGCTAGGCTACGGGATGGACTCGCTAGGCTACGGGATGGATTCGCTAGGCTACGGGATGGACTCGCTAGGCTACGGGATGGACTCGCTAGGCTACGGGATGGACTCGCTAGGCTACGGGATGGACTCGCTAGGCTACGGGATGGACTCGCTAGGCTACGGGATGGACTCGCTAGGCTACGGGATGGACTCGCTAGGCTACGGGATGGACTCGCTAGGCTACGGGATGGACTCGCTAGGCTACGGGATGGACTCGCTAGGCTACGGGATGGACTCGCTAGGCTACGGGATGGACTCGCTAGGCTACGAAATGGACTCACTATAGGCTACGGGATGGACAGAAGTACAGTATTCGTACTTAGTTAATTTAAAAAACTAAAAGCTTCATTAGATGAAAAAAAATTCTAAAACCCTGCGCCATTAACTTGTATAAAAAGAAAGTAGCGGCCTTGTGGTTAACAATTTAAAGACAGGTATCGTGGCGCGCGCACCCAGTGATTTACACCAAACTATATGATGAAGACGCGGCTCAATGAAGGTCAGGTTCGTGCTCCCTTGTTATCTCATTCATTCTTATCCACTGATGCCAGTCCTTCCTCGCTCAGCCTAAACAAACCCAGGTTACCCATGACTTCCTTGTTATTGTAGGTTATCTCCAGGCTTCTGTTTTGTGGGGTGTGGTGGTGTATTGTGGGGTGTGGGGGTATATTGTGGGGTGTGGTGGTGTATTGTGGGGTGTGGGGGTGTATTGTGGTGTGTGGTGGTGTATTGTGGGGTGTGGTGGTGTATTGTGGTGTGTGGTGGTGTATTGTGGGGTGTGGTGGTGTATTGTGGGGTGTGGGGGTGTATTGTGGGGTGTGGGGGTATATTGTGGGGTGTGGTGGTGTATTGTGGGGTGTGGGGGTATATTGTGGGGTGTGGTGGTGTATTGTGGGGTGTGGTGGTGTATTGTGGGGTGTGGGGGTATATTGTGGGGTGTGGTGGTGTATTGTGGGGTGTGGGGGTATATTGTGGGGTGTGGTGGTGTATTGTGGGGTGTGGGGGTATATTGTGGGGTGTGGTGGTGTATTGTGGGGTGTGGGGGTGTATTGTGGGGTGTGGTGGTGTATTGTGGGGTGTGGGGGTGT